CACTGCTTGGGCTCTAGCAACCATGGGAGACCGACAACCCCGTTGGAAAATCTCTTACTACGTTCCTTTGGTAAGAGGCGGGTATGAGGAGGTTTAACTCTGAATTTAAAGCAGTCTGAGTTTCAGTGGCCCTGGCCAGCTCCCGGGTTTGTGTGCTGGATGGCTGAACGCGGGGATGGAGCTCAGGTGTGCTCTGGATGGAGGCTGGGCTGCAGCTGCTCTGTGCCAGGAGGGCTCCCTGCAGCAGAGCCTCACTGTGCGGCTCTGGGGGCTCTGCAGGGCTGGGCCAGGCCTAGCTCCGCTCCATCAGCTGCACAGAAACAGACCTTGCTGTTGGTACTGTGTAACTTTCTAAACTGAAGCCTGGAGTCACTCACTGGGCTGGTATGTTTAAGCAAATGTTTACTTTTCTCAAACAGAACTGTTTCTTGGTGCCATGAGCATTTAGAGAAAAATGGCACAGATTATTTCTCTGATGTTGCTTTTAATAGAAATTTTCATACATAGGGAGAGTTTTAACATTTGTATTCCCAAAGACCCAGGCATATTTTGACTGCATGGTGATTGTTATATTCTTTTTAGACCCATGTGTTAACTGCTGCATTAGTTTATAGCAAAGCACAGCCCATTACTAATTGCTGCTTCTAATTGCTGTGTTACTTCCTCTCTGTTCAGTGATAAGATTATATGACACATCAGCTGTGTTGACAGGCTTGACATTACCATGGACAGCTAATGAAGCACAACTTGTGTTTGTGAGCACCCAAAGAACATCCAGATTTTGGGACCCTTAGTCTGCTCCAGGCAGTAAGAAGACTTTGTTTCAAAGCAGAGTATTTCTGTCTCGTACAACATCCACTGTTTTAAACAGATGTTCTGCAGCTATAACTTTTTGACTATTAGAATCTTCCACACCTCTTGGCAGATCCCTTGCAGTGGTGGAGATGTTACTCAGGTCAGTCCTGTGGTTTTCTGCTGATGTGGTCTAGATGTGACGACCTTTTTTGTCATTCCGATAGGAATGGTGTCATCCAGTTTTGGGAAAACCAACCAAGGAAATCTCCTACCTTGTTTCTCTATGATGTCCAGCTACTGAACCATAGTTGTGAGGTCTATAGGCAGCTCTGGTCATTCAGGCAACAGCCTTCCTTTACCATTCACAGCACAAGTCATCGGACTTGTCAAGAATTTCTGGTGATCCCCACACTGTAGAATGTGTGCTGGGACTCATGGGCCAAGTCCTGAAGGCAGCAGAATAAAAGGTGAGCCTACCAGAAGTCCCAGAGAGCTGCACTTGGTTGTCTGTCTGTGCAGAGATCCCAGGGCAAAGACAGTTCCAAAGAACCTGGAGGAGAAGTTGCAGTTACCTGTTTTCCCCAAAGGTTACCATCCTCTGCTTGTATGGCTCTTAAAACTTCTATGGTGACCAACTATTATTTTCATCAACGAAGAATGCCCCTTTTTATACTACAGTGAACACCCACTGGTGTTCCCAAGGACATCCCTGCAAGCTGTTCTGCTCCTGAACCTCTCCCTGTATCACAGACTAGCCACATTTCCTTTCTGTAAAAGCACACTTGCTTGGCTCCTCACAGGGCCAGCAGACCCATCCAGACTTGGCAATTTGTCTTGCTAGAAATCTGTTGCTGGGTTGATGGTCCAGCATGTCTTGGGCCATGTTTCCTTGGCATCTTTAGAGCCTGTCAGGGGAAAAAAAGCCCCAAACCCTAAAAAATCCCCAAGGCTATGTCAAACCAGAACAAGGGAGAGCTGCTTTCACTCTGGGAATGTAAGACAAGAAACAAAGTTTGCTCCCAGCATCCTTCTGAGATGCCTGGACCGAGATCCAACTTTCCTAGCCACACAGGGCCAGTCAAAATTGCAGTATTTATGTAGACCCATAGCTTCCTAAAGCTAAATTTCATTCAGTCTGTGTATCTCAGAATAAGGTGAAGGCGTTCCTTGTAGCTCAGCTGTTGGCAGGGGGATGTGGAGCAGGGCAGCAAGAGTGCTGGACTGGGAACTGTGCTCTGTTAGTGCCCCTCAGGGAATTGCACAAGAGCTGCACCCGCCTCTGCTGGGTGTGAAGGAATCAGCTGAGTAATGCAATCTCCTTGGGAATGTCCTTCCTGCTCTAGATCAAGAACAGACATGCCTTGGTTAAATGACTTACCCGAGGTCACACAGTGAGTGACTCATTGGCAGAGGCAGGAATTAACACGATATCTTTAAATTCCAGCTTCCTGGACCCCATAGCTACTGATTTCTAGTGCTCTTCTCTTTCCTCTCCCAGTCTTTAGCCTTTATGCCTCTTGCTCACTGGAGGATTTGCCACACGTGTGATTTCCAAGCTGACAATATCTGACCACTGCCAAGCAAATGAGATGCCTGTTCTTTGCTGCAGACATCTAGTGATATACAAAGAAGCTAATGCTCTATTCTTATCTTTTTGGAACATTTTACCATGTTATGCCCAAACTGATGCAGTGCCAGGTCTCCTCTATGCCCATGCCTCCAAAATCGTACACGTTGAAGGTGTTAACCTGTCCTCTCATGTTATTTTCTCTTTTTCTAGAAACATCTTTGCTGCAGTTTCCCTGAAGTTGGAGCACTGTCCATACCCAGTCTTAGTACAATAGCATAATCACTTGCAAAAAAAAAAGTCAGTGGGTGGGTTTTATAAATCCCAATTCAATGTTCAGCAAGGTATAACATCTGTTGTGATCAATATTTTAGAGCAAGCCTCTTTGATTAAAAAGTTACAGAAAGCCCTTTGCTTTGTACTGAATAGCTAAATAATTTCACAGGAATGGCTGTAATCTCTCTAAGCCTCTTGCATTTCGAATAAAGAAGAAAATTCAGGGTAATTCTTTAGAGAGGTAGCATAGCCAGCTGGATTGTTGTCCTTAGGAGCTGCTGTACTGGCAGTGAAGTACTTTCCATTCTTCATGGCTCCTGAGGTATGCTGGAGTCAAATCCCCAAAGAAAATTCGTCTCCACCAGATTATCGACACATTATCTTTCCATGACAATGTGTCGATAATCTGGTGGGTAAATGCCAGCAGTCAGGGCTGAAGAGTTTTTGGTTTGACGAGTCCACAGAAAGGGACTGCGGGGTGCGCGGCCAGTGTGGGGCGGCACGGAGGGGCAGGAGATGGGGGCAGTGTGGGGCGG